GAAAGAGAGAGAGAAACAGAAACATCAATGTGAGATCAATTGGTTGCCTTCTGTAGGTGCCCTGATCTGAGATCAAACCTGACATCCAGGTATGTGCCCTGACTGGGAATTGAACCAGTAACCTTTTGGTGCATGGGACAACGCTCAACCAACTGAGTCACTCCGGCCAGGCTAATTTTTATTTTTAAATTAACTAATCACATTGCATCGGTGATATGTATTCTGGTATAACATCCAGAAGGTACAAAAGAGTATATACAGTGAAAAGCAGGGCCACCCCTCCGCACTCCAAGCAGGACCCCTCCTTGGAAGCATGCCCTGTAGTGAGTGTGTGTCTTTCCACAGGTAATCTGTACATATGCAAGTCTTCAAGAGTATGAATTTAACTTTCCCAGCTAAGAGAATAATTGTTTTACTTTTTATTTTGAGATAATCGTAGATTTACATGCAGTTGTAAGAAATAACACAGAGAGATCAACCCATATACCTTCCACCCAGTTTCCCTTAATAGTAACATTTCACATAACAACAGTACATTACAGTCAGGGAGCTGACGTTGATAAGATCTTTCCACCTTATTCAGATTCCATCTGTTTTGCATATGTACTTTTATTTATTTAGTTAGTTAGTTATTTTCATCCTCACTTGGGGATATTTTTTCCATTGCTTTTCAGAGAGTGGAAGGGAGAGAGAGAGAGAAACATCGGTGAGAGAGAGATACATCAATTGGTTGCCTCTCGCATGCATCCCGACCTGGACCAGGGATCGAGCCTGCAACCGAGGTGTGTGCCCTTGGCCACAATCGAACCCAGAACCCTTCAGTCTGCGGGGCGACGCTCTAACCACTGAGCCAAACCGGCTAGTGCTGCGTATGTGCTTGTAAAAATCCTGATTTCTGGCTCTGAACCTTGTGGAAGCATTTAAAAGCTGCCATTCATTCTGTGCCCGCCATGTGCCAGGCAGCATTTTATGTGCCATATATGTAGTGAAGTATCTAAAACATGTAGTCAGTCAGGCATTTACTGAATCATCTAGTCTTCATGATAACCCCAGGAATGGTGTTCTGTGAGTAGCCCCAGTGCATGGGCCAGGAAACAAGCTCAGAAGGACAGGTCTCCTGCCTGTGGTGACCCTGCTCTCCCTCACCCCGTGGGGGGCTTCCCCACACCCTTTGCTGGGTCTCTGAGCCTGGCTGTGTGCTCAGGGATGGCGGGGGCGGGGAGCCGGTCTGGGACTTGGTTCCTTGCACCTCTTGGAGCACATGAAGTGCATCCTTGGCTTCTTTCTTCTCTCTCTAGGTCACGCTCTTTCTCTAGGTCACGCTCTTTCCTCCTCTTCTGCCTGTCACATTCCCCCTTCTTTTTCAGCCCCTGGGCCTCCAGAATTCAGGCTAGGGGACATGTTTTGTTCATTCACGCCCTGCCTTGTTTCATGAGGGACTTAGGGCGGATCAGGCTACAGGGATTTCTCTCTGTTCTCATCTCCCAGAAGAGCAGACCTTGAAGTTGTGATGAATGATTTTTGATAGGATAAAATGAAAAAAAAAAAAAAGTGATGCAATGTTTCCCCTAATTCTTTAAAGCTGTGACTAGATGCCTGTGTTACCTGAGCAGATAGCTGGGGCAGAGCCATAAGCCAGAGTCCATCTGTCCCCAGGCCAGGGGGTGGGGGAGGAGCTCTTCAGGGCAGGGGCCTGGGGAGGGACAGCAGAAGCCTGGAGCCAAGGTCACCGGTGAGGCCTGCCAGGACAGCAGAGAAGCTGAGTGGGGCCTGGGCCAGGAGCCAGAGCTGGAGAAGAGGAGTCCCCAGCCTCAGCTGTCTCCTTCAGGCCCTGGATTCATTTGGCAGGGCCCCTCCTCATCCTGGCCCACTCCACAACCTTTCCCCTCATTTCTCTTCCCAGCACAGCTGAGGTAGGCCAGAACTTTCTAAAGCAATTATTTCTAAAAACTTCTGGAATGAAAAGAGGAATGACCAAAGGAAGATGTAAGAAGGCAAGAAAACTCTTAGGGAAAACCAACATTTTACATCTGCTTGACATTAATAAAGCATCTTAACATGCATCGTACCATTCCCTGTCTTCACCGCCCTGTGAGAGAGGAAACACAGGCACATCCGTTTTACAGATGCAGACGCTGAGGTGCTCAGCAGGCCCCTAGCCAGTGGCTGAGCTGGATTCTCCCTGATCTGATGCAGGATCTACTTTGTGAACCTGCCGTTACTTTCATTTGGCACTTTAACCAGTGGTTCTGCCACCCTCGGGTCCATGCAGAGTGGCCCTGTGGCTCCAGTGTCCAGGCAAAGCAATTTCAGCAGTGCCTGTGTGTGCTCAATAGGTAGCTGATAGTAGTGGTAGTATTATCGTAGTTATTATTTAAGGTTTTTTTAAAAAAAATTAGACTCTTTTTAGAGCAGTTTTAGGTTCACAGCAAAAATAATGGGAAAGTACAGAGAATTCCCATACACCCCCTGCCCCACACGTGCGGTCATCCCCATCAGAGAGGTGCGTTTATTACAATTGATGAACCTAAATCAACACACCATTACCACCCAGTGTCCATAGATTATGTTATGGTTCACTGTTGCTGGTGTACATCCTACGGGTTTGGACAAATTTATAATGATATGTATCCATTATTATGGTACCATGCAGGGTGTCTTCACTGCCCTGAAAATTCTCTGTGCTCTGCCTGTTCATTCCTCCCCTCCCACCACCAACTCCTGGCAAACACCGATCCTTTTACTGTCTCATAGTTTTGCCTTTTCCAGAATGTCACATAATTGGAATCATACAGTATGAAGCTTTTTCAGATTGGCTTCTTTCACTTCGTAGTATGCATTTAAGGTCCCTCTATGTCTTTTTACGGTTTTATAGCTCATTTCATTTTAGCACTCAATAATATTCCATTGTCTGGATGGACCACAGGTTATTTATCTGTTCACCTATTAAAGGACATCTTGGCTGCTTCCAAGTTTGAGCATTTATGAATAAAGCTGCTATAAACACCCATGTGCAGCTTTTTGCGCGGACATACGTTTCCTTACCTAAGGTTTCTGAGCAGCAGGCTGATATGCTGAAAACGGTGTTGGAGGAATCTGAGTCTGGCAGCCCGGTGCTGCCTAGCGCATGGGCAAGAGGAATCGTGAAGAGGCAGAGGGGGCAGTTTTGGCAAGAGGAGACAGGGTGGTGCAGGAGGGGGCCGTGGAAGGGTCAGATCCAGAGTCCCTGGCTGCAGAAAGGACTGCAGGACATGAGGAGGGAAGCAGGACTCCAGGGGCCCGTGGCGTGGAGTGGGAAAGACGGCTGGCCTGTTTGAGGAGGGGAGTAGGTCAGAGAGGGAGGTGAGGGAAGAAGGAAGATGGCCTGTCTGGGTTCCGGTAAGAGCTCCAGGAGGCTTTAAGTTAAGTTTAGCAGAAACAGGCTCCAGGGCTGGGTTAGTGGTGGGGGTTCCTCTCTGGACCTGCCAGTATGGCCAGACACATGGGCTTCTGGAGGAGACAAGCCTGGGTTTTAGCTCCTCCTTGGGCCATTTACCCAACCTGTTTCCTCATCTGTAAAATGTGTTTTTTTTTCTCTCTAGTCCTGGGACTGCTGTGAAGATTAAATGAGCTAAGGGAGGTAAAGCTCTCCGTGGGGGTCAGCTTACCAAAGACTCTCTGCAGTTGGCACCCAGTCCTGGCACCCCGGGAGGCAGGAGCAGCTGCTTCCTGGGACCTGCCTGCAGAACCAGATTGACTGATGATTTCCGTTTCTGTTTTCACAGGAACTACCTCTTCAGACTCAGCCTTGCCAATGTCTCCCTCCTTCAGGTACATCTGCTTCCCTTCTCTTCCCTGTAACATCCCTGGTATCTGGGAGCCCTGCTGGGGCAGTGCAAGGAGCAAGTTTCAAAATTTAATCCCTAGGGTTGAAAACAGGAGCCCCAGGCTCTTTTCAGTGGCCATGCACTCTCACTAGCTGTCGAGGTAACTGCTGGGAAGATATCTGGAAGTGGGGATGAGGCTATGTGAACATGGAAGCACACGTGGGGCTCCTTCCCACATCGTGCAGAGGAGCTGCCAAAGAGGGGAGGGAAAGAACACCAGAGCTAGGGCTACCGACTGGCCCTCCTTGCCTGGGACTGAGGAGCCTCCGGATGCAGGACTTTCAGTGCTAACACCAGCCCAGGACTGGGAAAACTGGAATGGTTGGTCATCCTAAATTCAGCGCCTAAATCCACAGGAGGGCTTTTGAGTTTGGGCCTCAGGGACAGAGTGTCCTGGTTCCTTTCTTAGACTGGCCTGAGCAATTCCCTTCTCACCCAGCATTTTTGCTGAGCTGTGATTTATTTATTAGCTGCTGCCAAGAAGGACTCCCCGAGCATAATTCCCTAAGTGCTCTGGGAGGCATTTTAATGGGCCTTCTTGATCCAGAACATTTACCCCAGATTGGGAAACAGATGCCACACCATCTCCACAGAGGCTGAACATTCTAGAGAAAGGGAGGCCATCTCTTCTCCTTCAATGAGGGGAGAGCCCCAGTCCTCGTGTCTAGGAGGCTTGCTGGTCTCCCAGGGATCAAGCATTCATTGAGCACTTACTGTGTATCTGAACTGAGCTGGGGGCAGTAAGACAGCAGAGTCTTCGACCCTCAGGTCTCACAGTACAGCCAGGAAAAGATGTATATAACTTTATGTCAGCGACATATAACTAACTAGAGAATGGTACACGTTGTTAGGCAGGTGCTGGGCTATTTGGTAAGTTTCACTGCAAAGGCCAGTTGGGGAAGGGGAGACCTCCTTGGTGAGCTGGTGTGACATTCTGGTCTGTTTTTTCCTAGCTTTACCTGGGTCTATACCCCAGGGACCATTGCAGCTGGTTTCCAGAGGGGAAAGTTTAAGGGAGCATAAAAGGTGTGCCCATCAGAAGAAACCAGAAAACAATGAAAGGAAATTTCCATTCATCCATTTATTGGTCTGCCTGTCCTCTGTCCATACCCTTACCTGCCAACTTGCCTATCCATCCATCTAACCACCTCCCAATAAACTTTATTGAATACCTGTTAAAGCTCAGGTCTAGTCCTAGGCATGATACCAAGCATTTAAGATCTAAAGGTGAATCAGGCTCCATCCCTTGCCTTAAGGAGCAAACATATGAGATATAAATGATTCCCTTTCCTGTATGGGACCCATGTGGCATGTTCCTGGAGCCTGGCTGGGCTGGAGCAAAGCAGAGGAAGTCCCCAGAGGTAGCACCCCATGGCCTGCCAGCTCAGTCACAAGCAGCCCATCCAGAGCCTGGTTTTCTCTTGGCATCCACAGAAAATGAAGCCAAGATGCCAAACCCAGCAGTTAGGGTCTGGGGGAAGCTGGTACAGAGGCGATTCACAGTGGGCAGGAGAGAGTGGACCCAGGGGTGCTGCCTTGAGCTCAGGCAGTGGCTTTTTATTAGGTTTCCATCATCTGCAAAGGTCTCCTGGGAGGAGTAAAATGGGCTAAAGGGGGGAAGAGAGACAGATATACTAAATTAATGGCAGTGCTGTGTGAAGACTACAGGGAGGAATATGTGCCGGATGTAACGGTGGCCAGGAGGCACAAGGAGCCCACTGGGCTCACCAGAGTCTGCAAAAGCTTCCCAGAGAGCTGCCCTTGGACTGGAGCTGGAAGGATGGGGGTTTGCCTGGCAGCTGAGGAGAAGACACAAACAAGTGCAATAAGGTGGAGCACTGAGGGGTCCGGTGTGACAGGATCATGGGGTGTGAGTGGGATAAGGCTGGGAGATGAGACCCAGGGAGAGAGAGAGGCCACGTTGCAGAGGGTCTTCATTGCTGAACAGAGAGCTCCATATTTTATTTTTAAGGCATTGGGGGCTCCTTAAGAGGTTTAAAACAGAGAAGTAGATTTTATGTTTTGATCACCTGGCCCAGTGCAGAGAATGGATTAGTGGAGAAGCCAGTTAGGACATAAGTGCAATAGTCCAGACTAGTGATGGGGAGAGTTGAACTTAGTCTGCAGGGTGGGGATGGAGAAAAAAGAGAGAAAGAGATCTTCAGGTGACAGAAACACAGGTCACAGCACCAGGGAGCACCAGGCACATTGTCTTCTGCATGAAGGTGATCCCTGGAGTTGAGGAAGCTGGCAGAGCTGGAGGGCTTAGGAAGGCTTGGACCACAGTGGTGCCACCCAGGTTTCTGGTTGGCATAGCTGAATAGCATAGATCAGGATGAGACTAGAGCTAGCCTGACTTTAGGCAGTGTTTCTCTACTGGCTGCCCACTGGAATCACCAGAGGAGCTTCAAAAAACACTGATGCCTGGGTTGTACCCTCAGAGACTCTCACTTAATTGGTCTGGGGTCCAGCCGCACACTGGGACTTGTAAAACCTCCATGGTGATTCCAGTGTGCAGCCAGATTTAGGATCTGCTGCTCTAGGATGTGGAGAAGACCTTTTCTGTAGATGCCACCCAACTGATTTGGCTTCCCCAGGAGTCTTTGAAGCTGGCCCTCATTTCCTGGCTTGTACCTTATCAGATGTTAGGACTCTCTGGCTTGATGATAGTCCAACTCATGTCGATCTCAGCTATGGGAAGATATCTTAGGTGAGCCCATAACTCATGCTGGGGGCAGGGAGTTCTCTGAAGGACTGCAAATCAGTCCCAAGTACACCAGGAATTGTTTTTACCACCTTCTCAGGTCATCTCTTTAGTCTGAACCTCTGGAGTACAGACGAAATTCTTCTCGACAAAACTAAAAAGAGAAAAAAATACATTGCATGCCCACGTCCCTGCCATTGGGGGTACCATCTGGTCACAAGGCGGAGAGAATGAGAGGTTGGAGTGGGCTGTCCAGCATTCCCTTGAATAGGCTAGCAGCAGACTTCAGCTTCTGGTCATCAGGCCTGGTGAGAAAGTCCTGACTTCAGCAAACACCCTTCCATTGCCCTGTATGTGGCTTAAGGTCCCTGCTTATAAACCTTCAGTCCTCAACATCTACAATCACTGGTGGCTCGTAGCATACAAGTGCTAAAAATGAGCTGCACTCCAACCCCAGCCCAGCTTCCTTTACTCTCCAACTGTCTGGGGTACCCATGGCTGTAATGTAACTTTCCATTACAGCCCACTCGTCCTCTCCTGTGGCCTCAGGGTATGATTTAACCAAACTTAAAACTCAGTGCTTTATTGATAGTTTAAATAACTAACATCCCTTAAAGAAAAATCTAAGTGCAAACAGTTCATGCAAACCAGTGTCCATTAAAAGGACTTCTGAGTACCTAACTCTTATTAAACAATTTATGTAAACTACTGTCCCTTAAGAAAAATCAAAATACCAAGTCTCTTCAAGTTTCCAAGCACTGAATGGAGGGGAGGTGGGGGAGGGGCAGAGTGTACACACACACACACACACACACACACACACACACACACACAC